CAAAAAGCAAGAACCTGGATCGGTAATTGTCTTCAGAAGAGCACCCCCTCTCCAATAAACGCCAACATGGCCTTCTGGAACTTGATGTAAAGTAGCCAAGCTATCTAGCAAATTGGATGAAGAAGGAACAAGCACCTGTGACGTGGCCTGTAGAATGTCACAAGTTTCTTTATCATAGGCTTTACAGACAATAAACTTGTAGTTACCTTTCATAAAATTCTACGGTAACTAACAAGGATTTGTGATCCTAGTAACAACATTTTGACTTATTCTTAAAAAGTGTAACTGATCACCTAAGAAACAACCTACTAAGTGCAGTAAGGGTTAGCCAGCATGGTTCGGAAGGAAGTTTGAAGGTTTGCTAGATACTTTTGTGCTGTGTCCACTAGATTTCCTACTGAATCAGAGCCAAATGATTGGCATATTTAAGAGTGTCGTATTTCTGATCTTTACGGTCAACAGTTTATAGATTATGTCCCTATGTCCCTTTTTTTATTATTGGAAATGGTCCCAGAGCTGTACTATAATTTTTTCTGCTATGCTAAAGAAACATTTTTTCACCTCAGTTAATCAAATAAGGACGTGAAGATGACTCAAACTTAAAACTCCTCATTAGATGATAGAAGAGACCATCTTCAATGCAAGGAAATTGTCTCAAGTTGGATAGCAACCCCAGATCACCATACAAATGTGGTAGATGTACAGGATGGGGATTAGATCAGAGATGTTTGGGTTAGCTTAGAGTTGGAATTTTGTGTGTTATCGCGTACTTTACTCGTTGATATACATCTATCTTCCCCTTACTTAAAGTCAAATGCTGCTGACTGCTCTCTATTTTGTGTAATCGTTCAAATTATCCCTTCATGCATGCTGATTTGACTTCCAACAAAGACGATAACATTATTAAAATTATCAACAAATTACAAAAAGCAAGAATATCAATTTTTGGAACACAACTTCAATGCCATGAATGAAAAGAAAGTACAAGTGGCAAAAAAATAAACAAGAACAGGGCTAAAGAATTTTCAACAACCAAAGGCAACTAAGACTTTTCCGTGTCAAGCAAGCGATGGAGCATAAAACTAACTCTATCCCTACTCTAAATGCATAACTTTAGCACTGCTTAATTCAACAATTTTAGCATTGATGTTTTCCCCAGTTTGTTCAGGATATTCCATTAGTGCTATAAGTTTCTCTATAAGCTTATATGATCGAGGAGCAAAAATTCCAATTGAATTACGATAACGACCTCTGAGACCTTTACCAGTACTCATTTGATTGCTCGTTTTGTAAAGTCATCCATAATTTACAAGTATTGCAATTTGCCTTTTGAAGAAAATTTTTTTTTTATGAACTTAAGAGTTTACCTTACTGGTGCATCTTAATGTTTTTGTATCGATCCATCCTCAACAACAACATCTTGAACATCAAATTAAGTAAACAATCTGCCTCTAGAATATTAAGCTACATCACACAGCTAGCAATAAGCCTTCAAATGTTAATTTAATGCTCTAAACTAACCAAAATTTCATTTCTAGCAGAAGACAACTGATATAAATAGTAACTCAGGAATTACATTGAAGCAGAAAAAAGTACGTCGCACAATCAGATAATATCACCAGAGCACCTAAACCCGGAAACTCCCCTTAATTTACCTTAAAAATGAAACGCCTTCACAATTTACCATATAATAGTAATCTTATTAGTGTATTTATTTTGAATTAGAAAAAAAGGCTAGCCAATAAAATGTTCATTTACCTTTTGAAAATGTAGCAACCATCCAACAGCAATGGAAATAAATTACTTCTCAATATTCCATAATGAAACTCACATAGGCAATTCAAGTAAACGATTCCCAACCTTTTATGAGAAGCAATAAAAAGTCCTCAGTTCCACTTCATTATTAGTAAAACTAAAACATCCCCATATTCATCTACCTACACATAAAGCCGATACGTATTTAATACATTTTTCTGAAGCGAGACCACAGATAAGCAGTTACACTACTTTCGAAAGATATATAACCGTTAGTTACCACGAGAAAAATAGCAATGAAGGCAAAGAAGACTGTTAGGATCGGAGTGAAATCTGGGCCAGCGGGTCGCGGTGGCAGCGGCGGTTGCGGAGCGGCAGCTCCCTGCTGTTGCTGAGCATCCATGGCGGCGCGGTTACAATTTCTTAGCTACTCAGTCGTCTCCTCCCGTTCGTCCTTTTTCCTTCTCCTGCAATTGTAACTAACTAGCACGGTACTAATGTAATTTCTTCATCCTCATCACTTCTTCTGGTCCTACTTATAGCCATTGCACTTAACCTAAGTTGGAGGAAGGAATAACAATAACAAGAGCAAAGAAAAACATTAGAAATTTTTGCATAGAAAAACCCGAGTTTCTGCCAAGAACATTTGATTTCGGGAGCGTGGCACGGACGGTCCAACCGTCCCTTTACACTGCAACATTTTTTTCAACATTTTGTAACTCTATCCTTATAATAAAAGTATGATATTTTATTACTATTCATATAAGTGTTATATGTAATAATTGTGTCTCTATTATTAAGTTTTATAAATAATTCGCATAGAATTAAACATTGTTCAAAAAATATTACATCGTTCAAAACGATTGTTATTGACAACCATTGGTGCCCTTGATCATTTGATCTCGTTGTGACATCACTCAATAACGTGTAAAAGTCGCACAATCGATAATGTGTATAGAGGTGGTTTAAAAATTTATTTTTGTACTATGATTTATTGCTTTTTTTTTCTTGGCGTGTGTGTAAGATATGTGAAATAAAAAACATCAGTAAAAAGATAAATCTGATAGTCTTATTAATGACATTTTCTTTTTTTGGATAGATTGTGAAAAAAGTTACATAAAAAATGAACAACAAAAAAATTGAGTGTCAATAAAATTAATTCAAAAAGCTTTAAAAAATGGATAGATCGAAAGGGAATTTCTGTGTGAATAATTCTTTCCAAGCAACCCTAATTGCTATGCATAAAAGAGTTGAATTGTCGAGAACAAGTAACAAACCATCAAAGTCCACAATGTACTAGTGTTTGATGGAAGTCCTTTGAATGGACCTAGTGATAATTGCACCAAGCAATTTCTCAAAATTTGTTGTTTAATTCACTAAAATACGCAACACCTATTAAATAAACGACGACTGAATTTAAAATAGGATAGAGATAGACACGATTAGCTATGTCGAACAGACGAACAAAATCAACTTCTTGAAAATTAAAATTTCCTTGCAACTTCCTACTATATGTTAGAAAAATGAAGTCCATTTCACACTTCTATAACTTTCTAACATATGGTTCCCACTTTGATTAGTTTAAAGCATTACAGAGCTAGTCAAGAGACGAGGACCATGACTATACGTGGAAATCCATTGGTGATTGGACTTTCTTCCAAAAAAATTCTAACAAATGTTTCCAACAAATTCCTTTGCCATTGCGGGGGGATTTTTCAAGAGCTACCCCAAATGCTTCAAAGACCTTTCTCTTAATCGCTGATAATCTAGAAACCATTTTATATTCCCGAATTGACCCTGTCTCCACATTTTCATTTTCGTAATCCACTACAACTCTGATACTCATCGAGCAAGTAATGTTTGGCCAAACTACTTTGGCAATCTTACCACAAAACAATGCTCATCTGGATTGCGCATTTTGGGAGTTTTTATAATAAAAATAATATTATAGCACTCTGTTCTAGATGTAATCTATACAAGAAAAAAAATGGTTGAAAAACATATTCAGTAAATATTTTCTAAAATTTTAAAAAGCTGCAATGCAAACGATGTCAATAGAATGATACTGTGAATTTCTATTAAAAAAATATTTAAATTGTATTAGTGTAAGCCTTCTCATCTAACCAGATTGATTATTTGCCTGCTTTTTCCTTTTTTGCATAAGATTGAGTAAACATTTTTTTTTTTGTGGCAATAATAAGCTTCATAACCCATTGTATGCTTCTTCTTATTCCCCTTTTTTCCCCCTCTTTTCCAACTTCTAAATGGAATCCTTATATTATATAAAAATGAGTTGTGGTTAAAGAGGGATTTTGAATTTCAACCGCATGGATAGGGGAATTTTTGAAATGTAAAATGATGTGGAGTTTATTTTTAGTTTTGCGCACAAGTGATGATAGCATGTGTTTTGATATGTTTACAGAAATCTCCTCATATTTGTACATTTAAAGTGTTTATTTATGGAGATATTTGGGTATTTTTGAATGTGAGATTATTTTATAATAGTTTTTGCATCGAGTGCAAGTCATACAAGCTTATTTATTAGTGTAATTACTTAAATGGTGTTACAGACACATTTACTTGAAAAGTGGTATTTATTGTGCAATTGAAATGAAGACACATTTCTATAATCTTACTTTCAAGAATGGAGGGTTTGGAGATGAGAGTTGTTTAAGTCTAGAGGGACGATTTTAGGCTAAACAAAGCATTTTTGTAATTTTACCATTTGAGGATATTGAATTACTTGAAATATATTCAATTGTCTTTGCCATTTACATCTCAAGTAAACTAAAGAAAATATGGGTGTGTTAATGAATTAAATTTCAACATCGGTTATGGTTGTCTAAATGTCTTCTTCTTCACATTCTTCAGTTTTTTTCCTTTCAACTTTCAGGATTGGGCCAACTTTCAGGATTGGCCCAATGGGCTTACACATTCTTCAACTTCACGCGTAGCCCATTGGGCCAAGAGCCAATTTCCCTTCGTCTATGGCAAAATATGTCATTCCATTATCAAACGCTTTTCTAGGATAGGAGCGCTAAAAGTTAGCCAGCAAACATGTCAACGACGTCGTCGCTTCAAAACGACGTGGCTTCGTAAGGTCCATTAAAGAACAGGCACCTTTGGCGCGAGGTCAGATGCTGTTTTTATACGGCTGGAAATCACTCAGATTGTTGTCGGCCACTCTCGTGACTGTTCGTTCAGTCCACTTCTGATTAAGTCTCCGGCGGCAGCGGCTTGGTTCACCGGGTTAAAGAAATGCTCGCCACCACAATCTCGTCAGCTTTTCCAGTCAATGTTGCGCCGCATTTTGGAAATGAACCATTATCCTCTACTACTCTGCATTGCCGCCGAACCAAGAATCCGATGAGGTTAACAAGAGGAGTCTTTCCAGTTTGTGAATTTCCAGCATTTCTTCCCGAGCAAGTTGAAAATATCAAAGATCCATTTGCGAGAAAATTGGCCTCAAGAATTGAAAGACTGCCCGTTCAAGTAAGCCCTGTACTTCCTTCTTCTGGCGTCACTTTCATCTCATCACTAGTTCTTTTTTCCCCCTTAATGGGTCACGACTCTCACAAGTCTGCTGTTTGATATTCTTGTTCAGTTAAACCAATTTTTAGTTTTGTGAGAAACTGTACAATACGTTGTCATTCCTGGGTCTCTCTCAGCCATAAAAGCTTGCAGTCCAGCTAATCAATGCACCATCCGACGTCGTATTTAGGTCTTATAGGATCATGCTTGGTTAACTGGAACTCTAGTTTATATTCTTGCTGATTATCTATAAAATAGCCATTCTTGATTAGAGGTATATACTGCAAAATATGCACTAACTTTTATACTAATTCTATGACTAGTGTAAGTGGGTGAAGTTTCAACTGTTTTGTTTTCTTATTTTTTCTGGGCCTTCTGTACTTTTTTTATTTAGTGCTCGTTACTTTCCCGGAAGATGCATATGATTGCATTAACGAATCTTGTATTTATATAAATACTACTCGTATAACATTTTACATGTGACGTGACCTTAATGATTGGCACTTAGCAGCATTTCCTACAAATATGTATACTTATGTGGATAAAATTGAAGTTACATATCTGAAATGTGTGGAAGTTTTATGTATTTTACGTGCATCAATTATGATGATTACAGAAAGCATGTTTTGGCTTTGTGTGAAGGGTCTTTTTTCTGATCCCAGGTTAGCTTTTTAGACAGTTGTATCATGACTAGTTGTGTGAAGCCAGAGGGAGATAGCAAGAAAAGTCCAGTGCTTCTTCTTCATGGTTTTGACAGGTCCGCGTCATGCTAAACTCATTATTCTTCTAAAAAAATGTACTCTTTGTGATCTTTATTTGGTTTATAGTTTCATATAGCTCTTGTTTAGAATGGAGATACACACTTCCATTGCTTGAGCAGGCAGGTTTGGAAACTTGGGCAATTGATATTCTTGGTTGGGGCTTCTCTGATTTAAGTATGTCCTATCTATCCAATTCTTTTTGATTTTCTACCTTCATTCTGTCTTAATTAAGACTGGTTATCTCTATTCGTAAATTCCTAACCTTTGTGTGCTGTATTCCTCCCTCATTGCATTTCTAGAAAGGCTCCCACCATGTGATGTAGCTTCAAAACGTGATCACCTCCACAAGGTAATGGCTTTCCTGTTCATTAGACCTCTTATCCTTTGCTGATGGATATAGAAAAGAAGAGATTCCAATGACATATTAGTAATACAGTAGTGTTGTAAGCGATAAAAGATTCTCAAGTACAAAATCCAGGTTCAGTATGCATTGTCAATCAGAAACTCTACATAATGTTAAGCTGGTTTTTGTTGGAATCCCATGATTGGTAACATGCAGACATGTCTTTGGCGGAGGGGTCTCATATGTCATATTTTCCAATTAGTCTACACATTTTGACAAGTCCTTTACAAATTTCATAGGAGTCAGGTATGTAAATTCAAGAATCTTCACTTGAAACTCTGGATGAAGAAATAGGAATTTTATATTCTGATCTATATCTATTTGCTCAGTGGGTCCAGCTAAGAAGGCAGTTTACTATATCCCCCCTATTAGCCATATTTGAGACTGGGAAGAGTTTTCTTTTTCTATTTCCTGCTAATTTACCTATAGAGAAGTGTTAATTCCAATCATATTTCCAATCATCTGAAAGACTATTTTGCATTTCATGGCGTGTTATTGCGGAAGTTCTGGAGTTCCTATATCAACAGGCCAATGACAATAGTTGGGCCAAGCCTTGGAGCAGCTGTGGCAATTGATTTTGCTGTCCGCTATCCTGAAGCTGTAAGAACTTTTCAAAATAAGCAATATTATGTGCAATTCTTTATTTCTTAAGGCACTGATGTATATCTACACATTTGTATTCATGTGCTTCTCTTTTTCTGCTTACAACTATTGGTCTCATACTCTTCTCAGGTTGACAAACTGATTTTGGTAGATGCCAGTGTTTATGCAGAAGGCACAGGGGACCTTGCAAAGTTACCCAAAACATTAGCATATGCTGGGGTAAGTACCTATCATGTCACTCAAATGAAAAGAAGAAGGGGGAAGGGGATAGTTGGCAGAAAACCAATTGAAAGGAAACTGTGAATTTTTTGCCTGCCAATGATATAACTAGCTATTGCAATTTCTACTTCCAGTTAGGTAATCATGCCTATATACAATTGAGGGGGACTGTCAATGATTCTACAACAAGCCAATTTTTCTCACTGATATACCATTTTAGGTACTCAATTGATGTGGCATATGTTGTTGCTGAGAAAAAAAGAGAGAATTGGAAATTTTCTTGTTTTACAGGTTACAAATATAAATTTAATACAATCATTTTTGGTAAACAAACTTACAGGTGGTGCACAGTGCTCAAATTTTTAGTGTTCTAGAAAATGGCTCTGTATTGCAGCTTCACCTATCATTTGATGATAAATTATTTTTGCATTTGCCTTTAAATTGGCTTTCCTTTCCAAGTTTAAAATTACATTCATCATTCCATTTTTGACGTGGAATAAATTGATATTGTTCCCACGTAATGTGGAGTTTCTCGCTTCACCTATGTAAAAGCAATGAATTAATGCTAAGTGAATTGATTCTTTCATTCTTATTTGAAAATGGTTCTTAGCTAATTTTTGAACATTACTTGTGCTGGTTGGATGGCAGTTTTATGCAACCAATTAGTTATACTATTATCTCGAAAAGCTAATTCTTCATTTTCATTGGTGTTTTCTTTGGGCATCTCATGCTTCATACAACACCAAATTTCAAATTACCTACATCTTGTCCGTATTCCATGCAGGTCTATTTATTGAAAAGTCTTCCCTTGCGCCTGTATGCGACTTCGAAGGCTTTCAATGGTTTGCCATTAAATACCTTGTTTGATTGGACCAATGTGAGTGCTTTATCTTGTAATGTACTTGTGTACTTTTACATGGTAATGTGAGTTTTGAGCCTTCTATGCATGGCATAATAGAATTATTTTCTTTTCTATCTTGAAGGATGCACTATTTTAGAATCTTTTCATGTTGCAACAATATAAATGACGACTTTTCTTTATTGACATTTCAGATTGGCCGTTTACATTGTCTATTACCTTGGTGGGAGGAAGCTACAGTTGATTTTATGATCAGTGGAGGTTATAATGTTGTTGCCCATATAGGACATGTATGGTAATTTCCATGATCACTGACAACTACAACCAGTAATTCATAGGCGCATTGGTCCATCAGGATCCTTTACTATTTGAGACAAGCCTTATTTTGATCTTCATTATTCTAGTCCCCGAAAGTGCCAGTTTGGTATATATTGATAATTTGTATAATCATTGAAATTGCCAATGTAAGTTGAATTATCTGAGAATGGATGTTCATGTGAAATATTGGGTAGCATCCGTTAGAATTTGGAGAGATTAGCAAATTTACTCTCTGGAACTAAATTGATAAACTTTATCAGTAGTGAAGTGAAACTGTTTCTTTTGGCTGAATGTTCTCCGAACAGCAGTGCTCAGCCGAGAGTTTCGGGACCAAAGGAATTGGAACATTTAATTCATCTATTATTGATTATATTCATCTTTAATTTGTACAGATACAGGAAAATAAGTTCATGTCAAAGAACTTGATACTATCAATTGACTCATCGCTTTGCAAGACATTGCTATATTACATGTCCCATGTGTTGATTTCTCTACAACTGTGTATTGACTGATTTTGTTGTCAATTTCTCAATACAGGTAAAACAAAAGACACTCATATTATGGGGTGAGAATGATCAGATTATAGATAGCCAGCTTGCACTGGTAAGTCCCTTTTAAGCTCACAAAAGACACATTTTGGGGCGAAAATGATCAGATCATTTTACAAATGCTTAACCCATACACAATCAATATCTATACTCAGTTAGAGCAGTTACAAGATTTTGACTTTTAATCAGCATTTGCTACATTTTTCGCTTGTATAATGCAGAGACTACATTCTGAACTGCCAAATGCAATTATACGGCAAATACAAGATTGTGGCCATATACCCCATGTGGAGAAGCCTGCTGCAGTCAGCGAGCTGATAACAGAATTTGTTTGAACTTCATGCAATCTGGGAGATAACTGTATCTTCATATGTGAGAAATTATCCGACTGCTTTTGAGGCAATGTTGAGGTATGGTCATTAGCTGCAACTATACCTTCTCTTTGTGCCTTGCAGATATTGGCGCAGTTTGTATTCCATCTTCACCATGCTTTTTGTATCATATGCTTTACTGAGAGGGGAGTTTCTTAGCTGATTTGGCACACTGATGCAGGGAACCAGGCAATTCCGCGAATATCTTCTCAGCGTTCTTCTAGCATTGCAAGGAAAGGACTTCATTTGATTGCCAAGAAATGTAGCATGAAATTCTTCCGAAAGTGATTTGTTGCTTACCGCCAGGACTCGTGTCAAGCATCATACATCAAGAACGCAGAAACCACTCGAATCTGATCCACCAACCCCTTGGTTCGGCTCATGTTCTTCACTTTCTGAAGTGTGACACTCTTATTTATTTTTCTTCTTTTTTGTTTCCGATACCTTGCCATGTTTTATATGACGGATCAAGATTTAGACGATCATGAAATGAAAATCCATATTATTTAATCACTTCCGGTGCCGAACCAAGGTGACGATCAAATCAATTCATTTGATGATCTTCGAAGATGATAAACGAGAGCGACGAGGAAAACAAGCGAAAAAGGATAAAAAGTACAAACACGTTGGGTTTTTCCTTCCGAAATAAAGATATATAACGTAGCTGGGGTAGCAACTTCTTACTACAACAAAAAAAATACTGGCCCTCTCTAGATATACAAAAAGTCTAAGGAGATCAGACTCTACACTCTACTACCCCAGGAGAAGCCACATCTCCATTCTCCCCACCTACTAGCAAAGGAATCAAATTCCCAACTTTATCACTTAACAAGGGGAATAAAACAAAAGAAGTCCTAGTGAGAGTTTCCTACATGATTCCCACAACAGCTCCACAGTACAATCACATAGCCAAAAGTCCAATCCAACATTCTCTGGTAGCAAAACATCATCCACATATTCAACCCCCACTAAACTTGAAAACCTCTCATCCTCAGACTCTGATCAGAGTCTTGGACATATCAAGCCAATAAGCACAAGAGTTGCAGCTAAAGATGTGAACAAGTTTTGCTGAAGAGCTACACCCATGCTCTCTGTGTTGGTGATGCCACTTCCAGAGGGTCCAAGGCCAAAACCTGGTGCAGTAGTAGAAGTAGTACCAGTGCCCGTGCCGCCGGTGCCGGTGCCGGTGCCGGTGCCACCAGTAGTTGTGGGTGAAGAAGTTGGATTTGTGCCTGTAGGAGATGTAGATGGGTTGGTTGATGGGCTCGTGCCAGCATTGCTGCAAAACGAAACAAATAAATATCAACCGCAAATCAAAGTGAAAAGTAATGATATGAGAACAAAAGAGTAGTAATGAGCAACCTCGTTTTTCAATGAATATCAGTGATGTTATCCTACCCCCCAAAGAAGGATAGGAAAGGCAAAGGTTACCAAACTATATTTAAAAAAAAAAAGTTTATCATGTCAACCTGAGATGTAAATATACAAGACAAACGAAAGTTTGAGAAGTTAACATCATGACAGCTCGCACGCATATAATTGTCAGGGGGGCATCATAGCAGTGAGGACTAGTGAGGTGTACCATCACTACTAATGGTATAGTATTTCCCAACGGAAAGTTTGCTGGATCTAACATCCTAAGAATTAGATACTCCATCAGAAATCTCACCATCGGTCCAAAAAAGTTAGCACTCTAGATCATAAATGGTCATGTGGCACCAATAATTAAATGTGTTCCGCACGATTTTCTTTTTTTTTTTTTTTCTCCAGCAGAGTAGTTCTGATCCTAATCCTTCTGGCTGCTTCTTCAAACCCCAAATTCAGTGAACATTTTTTTTGTCAAACCCTTAATTCTTTTTCCCCTCTCATATAGCAAAAAAAACAAAAAAAAAAAGGGCTAAGTATTAGCACATAACTGAGGCTTTTAGCTGATCAACATATAGAGGTTATAGTACAACACTGAAACGAAAAACAGAAATGAGAAAGCATGTTACATAAAGCATAAGAAAGGGCAAGATCTAAACAGACCTGGGGCTAGATGGAAAAACGCATCCGGAAGAAGTAGCTGCAAATTTTCAAGGAGAAAAGACACAAAAGAACAAAACTTTAATATTATTCTGGCCAATAAAGGAAGGATTTTTTTTTTTTTTTTAACTTTTTTTTTGAGTAGTTCCGGGCTTCTCCAGGGACTTACTTGGAGGTGTTTGAGTCACAGCTGCAGTGTTTGAAAAACTACAGCTCCCATCCGCTTGGCCTTTCCTCTGATAATAGCTGTTTACAGCATAGTTACAGTGATCTCTTATAGTGTTGGGGTTGAAACAGGGACCATTTTGAAGGATTGGAGCACAATCAGCTCCAGCTCCACAGGCATAGTCTATGTTCTTCTGAAGTTGTCCATCACCCACCCCAGTATTGCAGACGCAGTAATTAGCAGCTACAGAAGGGGGGGAAAAAGGGGCCATCAGCAATACATCAAAGAGATCCAGCTCAATAATCAGCTCAAAACGAACTTTTCAATCAAGAAAACCTTCAACTAAAGCTCTAGCATACAATATATATTTATTAAAGAAAAGGGTCAGAAGGAGCTTACCTGAATGACCAGTCATGGTCAAGAAAAGCGCTAAACAAGCAATAAAAACAGCCATGAAGGTGAAGCAAATTATTGAAGGGCTCCAATATTAACTCTGAGTTTATTCGGTTTGGCGGTACAGAAGGTGGCAGCAAAACCAGTCTAAAGAGAAAGGGGGAGATGAGAGAAGGGAAAAGAGGCGGTGGAATTGGGAAATGGAGATTTCTAGACCACAGAGATGAGGGTGACGGTGGGCAGGAGTGGCCAATGTCTATATCAGTCGGCTTTTATACGTAGGAAATGATGTAGTAGTACTATACTACTATTAAGAAGGGAGGGATTTAGTCTAATAAAATGGAGCTAGGGGAAAAGTGCTTTTGGGAAATCGAGCAAGCTGGTTTTTTTTGTCACTTATTGACTGTATCTGTATCGTAGTACTATGTACATGTGTGGCTTTTCAAACGGTCATAAACTCTTGTGCTGGATTAGAACTAACCTAACCCAACTTGGTTTAGCTTTGCTTGGACATTTCTTCCAACGAAGCAAACCCCAACCCCCATCTCCCCATTCTGGTTCATATGCCCCATCACACCGGCCAACCTTACAGGGAGAGAAGAATTTAAAGAGTAGAATGGAAGAAATCTGAAAGCATAGCCTAACGGAACTTTATTATCTCTTGTATGGATTAATTTATTCTATACTGACAGACAGTGTATACACTATTAATGTTGGATGAATGACAATTATATAAAATTTGAATTTGAAATTCAATTTTTACACACATGTCATGAATCAAACGGTAATAATGTATATACTGTCAGTGTATATGAGATCTACTCTTTTTGTATTCCCTTGAAAAATCAGAAAGTAACTTTAATGTAGATTTGGGAGTTGTATTATGTATTAAATTAGTAGAGATAAAGAGATGTATTGACTCCCTTCCGACATTCTAAATCATCATCACCAGATGCTTACTGCCCACAAGTCCAAAAGGAAAAAGAAAGCTAGTCCTTTAACTTGCCAAGTATTTCTCTATTTCCTTTTTTTTTTTTTTATAGGAGAATACATGATACATGTTGTTGGTAAGAGATGGGGCCCACATTCACTTGACTCTGCTTTTGATTTTGCCACTGAATTCTTCTGGTTTCTGTTCCGCTGTCCTTGTAAGAGTTAGCGTTATCGTCCACACATACAGCTATGCTTATTCTTGCGCCTGTCAACGTTACATGATAGATAGAGCCAACTCTTGGACTTTAACTTGCAATAAAATTGCATTCTTTCTTCCTTTTTTTTTTCTTTTTCCTTTTTACAAGTGAAAATCTCCCCCTTTTGCGACAAACTATTTGGATGGAAGACTATTTAAAATAATTACTATAATATTTTTTGAAATGCGATTTATGTGAAATAAAAGGATGGTTGAGAAGATAAAAAATTGATTAAAAATTTATATTTTAAATACCCTCATTATTCTTATCACCTTAAGACACTTGCATTAGCAAAACCAACATAATCATTTAACCCAGAAGATTAGCGACCCATCATCACAATGTAGTGCAAGAGTTTGGGAGTCAATTACCGGGGAAAAAAACACCAATTAATGGGAAATAAAATAAATGCAGTGACCTTTTTCAGTCCCAAGTTTAGAAATGCCATAGAGCTAAAAAAATCCATTTTGTTACACTGAGTTGAAAAAATTGGGCGAATTCTTAATTGTTGACAAAGGTATTTTTTTTACTACTAAAATTTATTTTTATTTATTTTTGGTAGAACTAAAAATTTGAATGAATTCGGTTCTAATTATTACTGCGAATCCAAGTATGCCTATGAGACCTAAGGTAGCTTACATGGTTCGCGATCAAAAATAGCTTACGAAAGACATTACAAATCGCCCATCAATACAATATAATGCTGCTTAGGTTTCTAACATTAACAATTCGTCCTTATAATCAGACTAGTACCATTAATATTTGCAATAATAATAATGTTCTGCGACCAAATTTAGTACAAGTTTGTGTGGAGTAGTTAACAAAAATTCGTCTCGTACCAGTACCTCATAGCGTTCAAGGACAGAAGTAAACCAGCTGGAGAAAGGACGGAAAGTGATGCCATCATCATAATGAAAGAGATTCTGATTCTCTCTTAGTCCTTTCTGGTATTTTATGGCCCTTCTTATTTTTTGATGTCATCTATATCTTTTGCTGCATCATTTTATTTTTCTTTCTGGATCACTGGATGCCACTGTATCTCTCTCTATATATATATACAGTAACATACACACGAAATGGGGCAGGAACGGTTGTCAGTGACATCCGTTCCTGAAGGTTCACGGTCACGATGTGACCTCAAAAATTTGTGCGGCTCAGATTACAGCATGTAACTCGATTTTCACGTCATGTGTGGGACCCATAAAAAAGTGTTGTAAAATTACATCGTGTGCAAAGTAAGTTATATCGTGTGCAATGAAAGTTACGCGCCGTGAAAAATGGCACAAAGGGTTACACCTGTAACCGTTTGTGCCCCTTGTCCACATACACATGAATGATGAGTCACATGCCTCCCTCATCTTAATCTTGACATAGGCGTACTTTCTACCCTTTTCTTTCTTTTCTTTTTCTGGATAACAAACAAAAACTATAAAAAGAGCAAGAAAGTGAGTAGTAACTAGAAACTTTGGCTGAGAAGTTACTTTACAGTTCTTCACACCAGTTGAGTTAAAAAACATCATCAGCTTAAGCTCATGTAAGTATTTTCCAGAAGGGAGCCGTTGTTCTGTTTCTTTCTTCGGCTGCTCTCTCTGAAATCTTATCCAACAGGGCCAAAGCCGTTCTCATATGGAAGAGCACCAATTATTCTACAAGATTCTAGACGGACAATTCAGCATTTTGGCTTTACCCCTTTGCCTCAACGTGCCAATAAAAGCATTAATTTAGGACAGCCTTCTGTCTATAAATTCTCAGCCTCGTGTGTTTGTTTGGGCCTACAAATTACTTCCGCTAACTCTTTGAATGGAGGATGTTCATGCCACAAATTTAAATGCCTTAGTACTGTTTTATTCGGCTATGTCTGTGTATATATATACTACTCCCACAAAGGAACAAAAATGAAATTACTACACGTAGAGTTACAAAAGGGTTACAAAGAAGTTTTGTTTCTTTTGCTTCGAATCTGCATTAGATGCTCCTAAGAAATTGCTAGTAGTAAAAATTAATCTGGCCAAAAAAAAAAAAAAAAACTCTAAACCCAATAATATGAAACTCAGCTAGAATGTTCAAAGTTGGTGTATGATTGCTCTCGTGTCCTCCCACCTTTTGTACAAGTGCATGGATACCTTCTCAATCTCTTAGATGCCAATACTTTTTGAACAACTTAAAAGAAGTAACAACAACAACTACTACCATTACTACCACACATTTACACAACCTTAGAAAGAGAATATTGGGGTTCAGAAATATATGCTGCTAGAGAAAGCTTCTTGTTTTCTGAACTTGTTTCGGATCCTATTCCCTAAGCATATCCATCCAGAGGTAAAAGAAAGGGTCCTACAAAAATAAAGAGACAGTTTACAAGAAATGCACAGCCCATTATAACCTAATCATGATGATCAGATTTACTTATTTTCATTGATTTCTTCATACCACAAATCAAATCAAATCAAATTAAGAAAGGCTAATACCTGTATGGGCCCAGAAATTTGTCGGTTTTCGGGTCCCGCTAGCATGCTTACTGTCTCCCGTCGATGTACCAATCATGCGCTTGGAATTGGATAGGAATTTATGATGTATGTAAAATATAAAAAATGGTTGAAAATTAAAAATACGTGAATCAGAAAATGTGTTTATTATGCAGCTAAACGAATTTTGTGCAAATAAAGGTGTCCTAACGCATCATCATTACCACCATGACCCCATGTAGTCAGCAAATCTACCATTTTGTTTAATATAAAATGGTGGAAAAGTGTAAGTGAGATGACACTGATAGCATAAAAAGAATAATGGTCATTTTTGCAACAGAAGAGCGGGCACTCCATTTCAATTTTGGAGTGCCTTTTGATTTATTGATGATGATGATCATGCCTTTCTTATGGACTACAAATCTTAGTAGGAGTATTTATTAGCGCCTTTACCCTTTACAGCAAAAGAAAATTACGTAACTTCTCATTTTCTCTTTGACAAAGCGACCTTGTAGATCATTGGTCCCGTTTGGAAGGTGAGTTTTTTTAGTGTTTATATAAAACTTTACTGTAGATCACTGTAGAAATTATAGAAAAACTTTTGTAGAAAAATTTTTGTGAGATGAAAAACTTTTTTTCCTTTTTCTTTTCTTTCTTTCCTTTTCTTTTCTTTTTTCTTTTTTTCTTTTTTTTTTCTTTTCCTTCCTTCCCCTTCCCCTTCCCCTTCCCCTTCCTTCCCCTGCGACTTCTCTTCTCCCTCCCCCGCCACCCCTTTTCCTCCCCTCTCCCCCGCCACCCTTCCCCCTCCCTCTCCCGTCACCTCTCTGCCCCTTCCCCTTCCTTCCCCCGCCACCCCTCTCTGCCAGCCACCTCTCCCTCTCCCTCTCCCGTCACCCCTTCTCCTCCCCTCTCCCCTGCCGCCGCTCTTCTCCCTCTGCCTGCCACCCTTTTTTCTCCCCCCTCCCCCATCTCCGTCGCCCTCAGTAGCCACACGCCAAAGTAATGGAAGCCATGGATTTTTTTTTTTTAGCTTTTGCCTATCACCCCCTTCTCCTCCCCTCTCTCGCGCCACCTTCCCCCTCCCTTAGCTACGATCTGGTCGCGCGACCAGATCGCAGCCCCCCCTCCCCCTCCACTTTTGCGATCTGGTCGCGGGAGGGGGAGGGTGGTGAGGGAACGAGAGGGGAAGAGGGGAGAGGAGGAGAGGGGGTGAGGGAGAGGGAGAGAAAAAAAAAAAAAAGAGGAAGGCAATGCCGGAATTGTTGATCGGCGCCGAAAGCGGTGATGGAGGCGGTGGTTGGCACCGGAGGACATGGTGGGTTGGGTGAGGGAGGGAAAAGAAGAAAAATTGAAGAGAAATTTTTTGTACATTAGATGGGTGTATAGGTAAAAAACTTTGATAAGTTTTTTGAGGTTCCTATAGCAAAAGTTGTTAAAAAACTAGTTTTATACAAATTTGGTAAAAAACCAAGGTGCCAAACAGGCCCATTGATTCTTTCTTTGTTTTTCTTCTTCTTCTTTTTTTTAATCACAAATTTTGACAATTTGGAGAAAAGTAATATTTTGCTCGGAGCAATGTGTTTGGACAGCAATTCTTTTTTTTTTTTGAAATATTATTTTGCTTGCATCACAATTACAATTTCTGATCAACTCTTTATCTTTTTCAATAATCTTTTATTTCACATACATCATAGAACAAAATGTGTTATAGTAATTAGTTCAAATATCCAGACACATGTAAGTCTTGACTTACAATCAATCTTGAGATTTATTATTAAACTCAGCTATTATTTGAAATGTTTGAACTCATATATAAGTATTGCCTAATTAATCTTGTCCTCGTCTTTCAAAAAAAAAAAAAAGATTTAACTATAACCATTCATATTTTCTTCTTTAGCCATCATCTAGGAATTATTGAAAATGTTCTTGGGTTTTTTCTTTCCACCAAAGGCCGCTCAAGACAAAATCCAATCCTGGGCTTGTTTTCAGAAGTAGAAGGCCTAATGGTACTGGTCTAGTGGTCTGGGTCGACAATTGCCAGAAAAGTCGTAATCTAAATACTACGATTCATAATTGACAAACTATATATATAACTGAAGAATGACCATAATACCCTTTCATGCTGATAACCCCTAATTCAATTGGGAAGAAATTCACCACCCTCACGAAAAACCCTAGTCCGTCGCTCCACTGCTACTGAACGTCTGACAACTCCCATTTCAAATACACACAGCTAATACATTCACTATACATACACCTGTTATATATGCTTGTATAGGTCAAAAAATGGCGTCAATGGCGATCTTCTCTCGATCACGAACGTTAATGAAAATCCTAAATCATCATAATCCTCACCATGACTTCACCATATTCAAACCCATTTCCACTTTTCCGTTTCTTTCCCAGGAAGCTCAACTCGCCGAACCACCTCCGCCACCATCTCCGTCGCAAACCACCACCAGTACCACCTCCACTGCGACGTCGCTGCCTCCTAACCCGGCCTCCGGCAGTCCGCTTTACAATCAGAACTGGCGGAACCGTTACCCGCCATCCCTCAGTGAGAATTCCTCCTCCCTAATGCCGGTGGGGATTTTCAACCAACGGGCGGGTTCTCGATCGCAGGCGCTATCGCAGACCCTGGATGTTCAAGGATTGATGGATCTTTTCGCCGATTGGATGACGTCACAGCGTTGGAATGACATGAAGCAGTTGTTTGAGCTGTGGGTTATGTCATTAGATAATAATGGGAAGCCTAATAGGCCGGATGTCAGTCTGTATAATCATTATTTGAGAGCTAATTTGATGCTTGGGGCTTCTGCTGCACAGTTGCTGGAACTTGTTTCTCAGATGGATGATTTTAACATAACTCCTAACACGGCTTCCTTCAATTTGGTGTTGAAATCAATGGTCCAGGCTAGAGAGATTGATGCTGCCGAGAAACTGCTCGAAAGGTTATCACTTTGTTTCCATTTTGGTTGTTGAAACGATTTGAGTTCAAAGTGGCTGTCTGGTTCCCGAACTTCGGTTATTTCGCTTGATGGATCTTCCCGGCCTTTCGTCCGAATAATTTTCATGAATAGCTGCTAAATTTCACAATGTCTGTGTTTCGCAAAGCTGATATTTCAATACAGGACAGAAGGGATTTGTACAGAAAACTTGCTTATTTGTGTTTTGGATTTCTCATTGTTGTTTGCAGCCTATACTCTAGAAATAAAAAAGGAAAAAAATTCTGTTGGGATCAAAACATGATATTAATTTACCAGAAATCTGAATTATAAGAAAAGATGATGAGACCTGAATTTACTTTCTTGTGCATCTTTTACTTTAGGGTTGGCTGGTTTGATTTAAAGGCTGTCACTTTTTGAAAGTTTTTTTTGCTTTCTGTTCAATATTACTATGTCCACTTTTTTTTTTCCATTATTTTCTTTTTCACTTCTTTTTCTCTTTTCGGAGTAATGAACAGTGTACAAATTTCCTTTGGCTACATCTGATATGGTACTGTCATTTGGTTCCGAGCATGTACTAAGGATTAGGTATCCTATTCAACATTTGCTGTGTGATTATGAGCTCATGTGTCAAATTAATGTTATGTGTGAAAAATTTTCCTGATGTGTCGTTGCAAACTTGTTCCAATTACTTTTTCAACTATTTGATGGACAGATAGCCGTAAAAACGTTTTGTTTTTTTTTCTCTTTTTGATGGATGGGCCTTTGCTTAATCTTATTAGGATGCTCCAGACAGGAAAAGAATATAAGGAATCTCTGCCCGACGATGAGTCATACGACTTAGTTCTGGGCATGCTTTTTGCAACGGGTCAGATTGATACTGCAATGAAGTTTATGGATGTTGCCTTAGATAATGGTTATATGTTGGCAATGAGCGTATTCAATGAATGTGTTCTAAGCTGCCTTCAAAGGTGGAGATTGGATTCATTGATGTATATCATTCAGAGATGCAAGGTATGAGTTTGCTTTGGCTGATTAGTAATTAGCTTGAAGTACTTTTGAACATACCTGAATCTGTTTTTCCTGGAATATATCAGAAAATGGAGCAGAACAAAGCCCTATGTCCCAGTTGGGACTTGTGCAACCACATTGCAGATGTTGCAATGCAAGCAAATAATAGTGAACTTGTGTTTTATGCCTTGGAATTCATGGCAAGATGGATTCGTCGAGGACAGACTGAAAGGCCCCAAGTTCTGCTTTCTGTTGATGAAGGACTGCTTGTGTCTGTACTTGCAACTGCTGGTAGAACATATAGCTCAAAGCTCCTGGATGCTTCCTGGTCATTCCTTAAGAGTTCATTGCGCCAAAAAAAGATTCCCAATCCCGAATCTTGCCTTGCAAAGATATATGCCTATTCTTCATTAGGGAACTTGCCAAAGGCTTTTGGTACTCTCCGTGAATTGGAGGCAAGTTATAGTAGTGCTGACAATGAAGCTCTGGAGGATCTATTCTCTCCATTTACGTCTTTGAATCCACTGGTTCTGGCATGCTCCAACAAGGGTTTTGCAACTTTGGATGAAGTATGTGCTTTTATTTTAGCTGCAGCATGCAGCAGTCAGTTAAAATTGCTTTATATGTTTTATATTCCTATGCATTCAAAACAATAAGGCTAGCAATTATAACTTGTTTCTTCTCAGAAATTACCATGCATGCATGCAAGATATATATTTCACTTTGGTCTCTGTGTTTGATTTGTACTTGTCTTTGCAGTTTATGTCCAAAAATTTTGGTACGTGAATACGTGTACAAATTGTATGTTACACTCTGATACTCATTTAGCTCTCTACCTTATGGTTGCTTACATCAACTTTTCAGGTTTATTATCAGTTAGAGAATCTGAGCCAAGCCAATCCTCCTTACAAGTCTGTCGCTGCACTTAATTGTGTAGTTCTGGGTTGTGCCAATATTTGGGATGTTGATCGGGCATATCAGACTTTCAGTGCAATTGATGCTAGCTTTGGTTTGACCCCAGATATCCATTCATACAATTCTCTCATATGTGCATTCGGAAAACTCAATAAGGTAAATTTTGATACTTTTGGGGGCCACTCTTTTCTTTCCTTATGTGTCTCTATTTGTGATGTTGATATACACGCATCATCTTTTTCTTTTACTTCAAGGCCCTTAAAACATTATTTGAGCACTGACAGCAAAGGAATTATTTTCTAGCTGTTAATATCTCCTGATTATTCCTATAGTTGTCAAGCTTCACTCCTGGCCTTGTGCTTAGCAATGAGAAAATATTGGCCTAAGGATTCTAACATTCTGTGGTAGTTGATGAACTTGTATACGCTTATGTTATCTGAAGAGGAAAGGTTATATTTGTTTATTACCTCTATAAAAAGTCTACTTATGTGGCAGAGGGATGAAGCTACCAAAGTATTCGAACACTTTGTAAGTTTGGGTGTAAAAGCAAATGCAACGACTTATTGTCTTCTTGTTGATGCTCATCTTGTTAAGCGAGATTCTAAAGCTGCTATATCTGTGATACAGGACATGGTAAGTTAATCCTTCTTGGGATCAAGTAATGCCTTTCTGTCCTTGCAATTTTTTCACTATCTATGACCACTTCATTGTTTTTACTGAAACCTTGTGTAGGTGACTGCTGGATATGAACCATCAAAAGAAATGCTGAAAAAAATCCGTAGGCGATGTATACGTGAGATGGATTATGAATCTGATGAAAAAGTAGTGTCCTTTGCCAGCCAGTTTAAGATTCGAATGAACAATGAGAGTCGCCGGAACATGCTGTTTAATCTAGATTACAGTACTGAGTATGCATGATGGCCAGTTACATGGCAATGGAAGATCATTTGCATGGTGACCGGTGAGGAGCTAGACCTGGACAATGAGTGAAGAAAATCTTTCCCTATTCAGGCAAGCCTATGACTTCTAGAAATCTATTCGGGGGACCACTTTTGGCATTTCCCGTTTTTGAATTAATAACGACACTGAGGAGAGTGTCTAACAGGATTTAGGATGTTAAAGTTCAGATCTATTTATTGTAGGGCATGCTCTCTGCTTCTTTTAGTATTTAGTTGCGGTGCATTGCTTCTCAGGTTTGCTTCCTCCTTGTTGGATGGTTCATCAGTTGCAATTGGCATCACCAACTCTTGTTCGCATCCTCAGAGCGTTGGCGATAATTCACCGTTTGTTTGTAAATTACTTCATTTTTGGATTTTGGAGCCCCAAGAGGGATTGGTGCTGAGGATAATGTCAAGTCTTTTGTAGCTCAAGTTTTGTGCTTTTTTTTAGTAACTCTTCATGGAGGAGAAGTTAGAGAAGTTCCAATATTTTTGAGACATTAAGATGTCCACAAATAACTGAAGTCCATGGATGGTCAAATTATTTGATGTTAGATGTATATTTTCCCCTATCTTCCTTCCTGTTTATTTTCCTACACGTCAATTGACTGTCAAATATTGAATTTTAGAATCTGAATACTTGTTCCAACCAACAACAGAAATTATCATGTCTAACAATATTTAGAGAGATGTTTGCAATGAATTTAGCTTATGTGCTTGGCGAACTTCCCATACGTGTCAGGATGCATTCTTGGTTCTTTGGTTGATTAAGCTATTGTGAATGCAGGCGGTAAGACATAGGCGGAAAATGGATCTCTGTTTTGAAAAACTAGTCTCTTGTGGGATTGCAGACGAAAGGTGAAAGAACAGGCTCATGATTGATTTAGAAGTGCTTGGGGAAGCTGATGTGGTTTGCATAGGGGTTTAAAATTTCTACGTGTAGAAAGCTTATTCAGAACTTCAAAAGTTGTTTATCTAATTTTAATCTTTTGAGTAAGATTTTGGTGAATGAACCCACAGTAGGATTTTCAGTAAGGATGGACTGTGAGTTCATTTTTAACTTTGTTAGATGAGTCTTCTTACTGTGCTACTGAGAGATTATTTGCAGGTGCGATTGTAGCTCAGCTGGGACAGATCAGGATTCTGTCTTTTTATCTCAACTGAAGCTTGCTTGTTTAAAAGTACTGCATTAGTGGTTGAGCAAAGGTTGCCTGTTATACCGATGCACGCAAGATTGTAGTTTGCTCAAGTAAAAATTGCTGCTCTGCTACATATATTGAACAATTGATGTCTGCCACCACAATTTCTTTCTATAGTCTGTCAACCGCTTAATATACTTGTGAATGGATAAAGTTGTGCTTCTGGAAATCCATGTCATCCTATGATGTTTCTCATATGTATGTGGTACATCCATACTGATCTTTATGATGTTCACAGATGTTTTGCCTTCTAAAAGGACACAGTAGAAATCATCAGAAGATTATGCTCAGATCGAGGAAATGAGAAATTGAGTAGAGGAAAAAGGAAAACACCAAAAAGGAAAGAAAGAAAATAGTTGTAATGACTGAGAACTATGTTCTGTAACTAATCAGCAAGGGAAACCTTGCGTTTTTGCTCTTTGATGTTTGCCTTTGTTAAGGAGCAGATGGCAACAGTACCCATTCCTGTCTGAGTTGATATCTTGTTACCTGCAACGTTTTGCAGCAGTGTAAGTGGTAATTACCAAATACTACGATTGAAAAACCAATGACGAAAACTCTCTTCAAAACATTTCCAACTGCATGTGTAAGTGGTGCACCTCGTTCCAGAGTGTTTGTAGCAACCTGCAATTTTGGACATGAAATTTATTGCAACAGATACATGTCTGTACCATCTAAAAGATGTAGGTGAGGCATCAAATTCCAAGCAGCAAAGGAAAAACAAATGCTCATATTCTCTTTAATGTACTAAATTTCTTATACACAAAATTTGGTAATGATAATAATGTTCATAGTTTTGTTGCAACAAAACTTTGAGGACCACAAACTTTTATTCGCATAAGCAACGTGGTTAGTTTTGTGAAAATACGTTAACCCTCAAAGGATTCCAGATACCACGAGATGCGAAGAATGAATGGACATTAGACGAATATTAAAATATGGCCAAGTGCGTTTGATGCACTTCTTTTCTTAATTGCAGATGCAAGTCAACTCAGAAAAGGACTATTGGAAATGTCGAAAATGGGGAAAAAAAATTCCATTCTTGCAACGAAGTTTCATGTTGACAAGGTAATTGATGTATGCAGACATAACCAATAACCTAATAAAATTTGAAGATGCTTCAACTGGAAGAAATGGGCACATACAAGAGAATGTGATTGCTGTTTCATGGAAACCTCCGTCATTTTTTTATTTTTTATTTTTTTGACAAGTGATCCGCAGCCGCTATCCGAGAGTGCGCACTGGATAAATCTCGTCCCGTGCAATAGCCTGCCAACCACACATAGGAGAGGAGTAAGAAGCACTAGGTAAGCCTTTTGCGACGGATGATCAAGTAGTTCTTACTTACCCGACTCCTTGCACGAATTTTTGGGGGTGATAGGATGATCAAGATGCTATAGCTCCTGATCATGCACCATGAGTTACCAAACAGAAACTATTGAGGGGCATTAGCACCTTTTGAGGTATCCTACCACTGCTTTCTTGGAATAGATGCTCCTGTAAGTAAAGGCTACATTTGAGATGATTGCACTTATGAAGCCAGCCGGTCCAATTGAATGACATCTCGGTCATTGATACACCTGAGATTGGAAATTGAAAAACTCAATGAATAATGGTTTATGCTTTCAGATTCTTGCAGTTGCTTTATTAGCCAGAGTTGTGATGTAACAGCTGTTTAGTGACTTTTACATAAATAGTCATGATAATATAATGAAGATTTCCTGTTCTTTCCAGCAAATCCAATTTCAGGAAAGCACAGCTCTTTCTTTAAAATGAAAAGAATTTCGTAAACTGAAGTATGTTGGGAGCCCTTTTTCATCAGCACCAAGTTCGATTTTATTCTTTTTTTTTTTGGTTATAGTAAAATGTTGGGGCAAGGCAAGATGATCTCTCAAGTTTTTCAGTCCATTCTTGTCGCCTGTTTTGATGTTTCCAATCTAAGGTAACAGCTTCTCACGATGTATTTTGGTTAATTGGCAATATTCACACGTTACTTTCAATCTAATTTGTTGCAACTAGAATGCATTTCTCTGGTGGCTAACTCACTTGAAGAGAGTTAGTATTGAGATCTACTTCCAGACTCCAAGTTTTTTAAAACTTTTTGTGATTTGCCTTGATTAACATAAATATGGCTAATTCTTTTTTTTTTTTTTTTTTTAAAAAACTCCTTTTGCGGTCCATTAATCTATGAAAAACATTCAAGATGGGGCCTTTAGCCCAAAAATTGGAGAGTGAGTTCCACTTTGTCCAACCCAATGTGACCGACCCAATTTTGCTCAACAGCTTTCCGCCACCTTCTACCAATTTTAATCCGTCAATGAAAACGCAAAATCAAAATCCCTAGCTCTCGACCTCCCAATCCTCTAAAGAACTCATCTTTTTTTCCCAAAAAAAAAAAAAAAAAAATCCGATCAATAAACATCAAATTAATCAATAATTGGAAAAGAAAAGAGAAAAAAAATGGGGCAAGTAACGGGGGTTAATGGTAAAAATAAAAAAGAAGATGCTAAGAAAAAAGATGCAAAAGAAGAAGAGGAAGAAGAAGATGAAGATGAAGACGATGAAGAAGAAGAAGAGCCTGAACAAGATGGCTTATCTGTGCATTCTCCTTGCAAACCTCCTCCTCCTTCTGTCCATCAGGTATTCCTTCTTTTTGATTTACTAGCATTAATCTATCTTGCTTATGAAGAATTGGAAATCCTTTTAGTTATTGAAATCTTTTTTTTTTTCGGCAGGAGAAATCAGAGGTGGAATTGGAACTTAAGTTATTGGAAGCTCTTGAAATTTATCCTCCAGCCAAATTACGAGGCACTTCCTTATTTCTGTGTTCTTTTTTACGTGAAACGTTCGAAATTTCTCAGTTAAATAGATAAACTTATTACCATGTCATGAGAGGGCACATCTGATTGAGCTTAAAACTTTTAAAGACTCTTTTTTGGTTTGAACAAAAATGAAAGAAAATGGGATCCCAGGATCAATACTGCAGGATTAACTTAATTTGTGTCTGTTTTGATTTGTCTTCTTGGGCTCCCCTGAGTTTGAATATTGTTTTTTTTTTTTTGTTTCTTCTCGGGCTATTTGAAACCGGTTAAATTGAATGTTGATGGAACAATTTAGTCTTTTGCTCTTTGTAGTTGGCGGTTTAGGTGGAAATAAGAAAGGAATGGATGCAAAAGAGAATTTTCCGTTCTCATGTTTATGAATTTGGGGGAAAGAAGAAAAACAGAAAAAGAAAAATGTCCTTTCCGTTTGCCATCCTTCAAAGTTAAAGCACTTTTTTCATAGACTTTATACTTGATGTAAGTTAGTTTAATCTATTTGTCCACTTTCTTTCCTTCATAAATACAATTTTTCTAATAAGACTCAGCAATTAGAGACTTGCTATCTTCCTGCATCATCACAACGCTGTCTGCCATTCAAGTTCATCTTTAAAACTGAGTCAGCGCTGAATTTAAAACTTGCATCTCCCTTTTCCAGTGACACATACAGTGGGAAGATGTATCTGATAATTTTACAGTTTATCTCTGATAATGTTATGCTTGAGTTACCTTTTACTCTAAGAGTTCTCCTGTTGGGTAGAGGGGAAAAAGGTGATAGACCAATGACCCCTGATTCTTTAATGTATTGTTAATTATTTCGTGTCTTGCTGCCAGTTCTTGCATTGATGAGGAGAGTTAACTGTAAAGCTTTTTGCAGGAATGCACCGTCATTTTGTCCTGTATGGTTTGACTGAGTATCTTCGGAGAAGGTTTACTTAGCTTCTGCTCTATCTTCCTTCCATTCTTTTGGACTTTATTGTTCTGGAACTTCACTCTAGCCATTTTTTCACAGCTTTAATCGACATTTTGCTCCGGATGATGTTCTGAAGTTACTGGACCGTTTCTACAACTTGGAAATGCTGGTTAGTATTTGCACTGTCATCTGACTTTCTGAAGCAAACTTACAGTACTTGGACACGTTTGTTATATATGAGAATGGCACTTCTAACATCTATTCACTATTCTCTGAACTAGCTTCGACTTCATTGATATAGTTGGCATTATAGTGAAAATGGACTTGATTTTGGCCTGTCTGTACATACTTGACACCTGCATAAACACCTGCATATAGGAGATTAGCAATCGTATTTTTGTCATTATCTTCCCTGGCTTTGATGTTCATTTGAGCTGCATCACCCATTTCACCTTGTTGGGAAGTTCAATTGATTGCACTTTTTCCCCTAATTCGCCTCTTTCGTTGGAGTATCCAAGAAATCAGATGATGAGGATGCAGAAATACTGAATCACGAGGAAGATTTTTCTTTGCCTCAAGGATATTTTGTAAAGGAAGATTCTTGACTTAGAAGGTAGTGGTTCAAAGAATTGCAGAGTCGCGAGGAAGATTTTTGTTTGCTCCAAAGTTATCGCGTAGAGAAGGATCTCGACTGTATCAACCAAGAAAGTTTTGTTGTACAGAGATCTTTTGGGCGTGTGGTTTTGCTGTTGTTTGTCTTGTATATTGTAAAATTTCAACATTCTAATTCTGAATTTACTTCTCATAAGTAAGACACAATTCATGCAATCTGAGTCTGTAAAAATAGCTCCTTGATTCTGCCTCTAAATTTCCTTCCGTAAATAATACTTGGATGAAGACCAGATACTTCCCTGCACACCTATATCCAAGTCCTTGGATCATCTCACTTTCCATGCTTTCTGTGCAGAAAATGAGCGATAAGTTCTTTCTAACCAGTACCTGACCTATTCCTATTCTCTTCTTCCTTCTCTTCACCTCCTCCTAAGCTGTCAAAGCTACTTGTGGGCATTTTTCATTACAATATAACAGCGCCAAAGGCTGTTGGAAAACTTTATTAGATGTGACAAAATTTCCGAGAAAAGCATTGTATGGACGAAAATGAATATCTTGTATCTTACGTAGAGCTATGCCTGCACCTTCCTCGTTTGCAGGTAGATTATCATTTTGCTTAGTATTTTTTTTGCCTAAAATGTCGAAACAAATCAAGCTCAGCATAAATGGTGCATTAGAAGAAAATTTTTTTTCACCCATTTCTTGCATTAACTAAACTAGACGGTTCAATGAAATTGTGTCAAGATTTTGCACCCAAAAAAATAAAACATGTGTATTTTGAATGGACTGCTTCTTGGTAGCGAGTTTTTCTAATCACAGTGTAATACAGTAAGATGCGATTAAAGTTTTACTTAGAAGTGGCAATTTTTAGCACGGTATGGCTACGCGACTCTAGCACGACTTAAAATTAATAGATTTAGCACGTTTCGAACATAAGTGGATTACTATTGAATCAACCCCTGAACCTTGAAGTTTGTTTTTTGTTTTGAAGACTTTATTACATATTCTGCCTTTGAAAACTCTTATCTTAACGTTTTTGGGTTGAAAGTTAGACGTTGAAGTTTCGGAATTTCTTGTATGCTTTGAACTTCTAACACTTTATTGTGCATCTTTTCATTGAAAACTCTTTAATAGCAAGAATTGATGGATTAAAGTGGATGCTAAGCGGATTCATTTGACAGCAATTATTGTCGTTCGAAATGTTTATTGATTTTTATGAATTCGGTCGTGTCAACTTGTCAACAAATAGGTTACGAGTCTTATGACACGATATAAAAAGTTTGATGTTATTAACCCAAAAGTTTATTCCTACTATTTTAAAAGTAGGAATAAGCCTAATTTATGAGATGCGCTCCATATTTGTCCAAATTTAAATTTAAAAAAAAAAAAACTGAAACTTGTCCTCGTTTAATTTCTAAAATTAGTCGTTCTACCCGAAAAAAGAAGGGAAAAAAGAAGAAGAAGAAGAAGAAAAACAAAGAGCTGGTAAAGTAAAAGTGTAAAACAAGCTGTATGTTTTGCATATGTTCTGTCGGTAAATAATAATAATATAATCCTACGAAAAGATCAAGAGGCTGTCGAGGAGAACAGAAGACGCAAGCAGCAAGTAAAACAGGTAAAGAAACAACATGCAAGTAGACTGATCAAAATTTAGAGTCTTGTTGTCATCTTGATGGATCCAACTTCCAAGCAGATTGACAAAAGGTGATCATGCAATGCTTCTTGGAGAAATCTGAGTACACAGGTCACTGTGCAACTGCTCCAGAACAAATGACTTCAATGGTGTAAGGTTCTTTCTTATTCTGTCAATGCTGCAGAAATCGACCATGGTTAAATATTTCAGGAACTAAATAGAATTGGTTCAATTACGAGTCTAAAATGAATAGGGCTAACTACTAACCTCTTGAGCCTCTGCTGACTTGCTAGATTCTTCAGCTTTAGGGTTGTCCTCACCTGAAACAGGGAATATGAGGTTAGGCCTTGCTTTGCTAGAAACCACAACCCTTCCGATCTAATATGAGCAGCAATTACAAAACCATCGAGGTTCTCAGCAGCATTAAAAAAATGTTCAAAAGGACAATGCCGAGAAAGTGCTTCAGAAAATCAAAGGTACAAGTAAGCTGTGGCAGACAGTAAGTGTTGAATTCAATATTCAGGATATGTAATTAAGAAGATTTTGTACCTCCATCTTCAGGCAAATCAGAGGTCCAGAGAGTGAGATTGTCTCTCAACAGCTGCATGATTAAGGTGCTATCTTTGTATGACTCCTCGCTCAAAGTGTCCAGCTCTGAGATGGCCTCATCAAAAGCTTGTTTTGCCAAATGGCAGGCTCTTCAGGGTGATGCATTTATTTTTGTGTTAGTGAGACAGACTTAGATTTTTTGTCCAGGTCTTAATGAACGGAAACAGTATCATGAAATTACCTTTCAGGAGAATTCATTATCTCGTAATAGAACACAGAGAAATTCAAAGCAAGTCCAAGACGAATTGGATGGGTTGATGGGAGCTCCGTATTGGCAGTTGCAGAAGCAGCCTAACAATTACACGACAGAAAGAAGGCAAAGTAAAATGGATACTAAGTAAATTGTACAAGTGTGACAATAAGCAATCTGTTCATGAGTATAGGAAGACGATCAAAGTAAAGCTTGCCTCATAGCCCTTCAATGACTGCTCAGCGGCCTCTTTCCTCTCTTGATCAGTCTTAAACTCGGCGAGGTATCGGAAGTAGTCACCTTTCCTGTAACGAAATACAGTAGAAAATGGAATCAGGCTTATCAGGAGATCAAATGTATGCTGTGATTAAAAACTCCTACGATCAAAGGCGATCAACATAAGTAGCCTAATGAAGATGCCCTCAGGGAGGGAGGGTAATTTGCAGGATACGTTAAAACTGACTCACATCTTGTAGTAGAACACAGTGGCCTCTCCAGAGCCAGAAGATGGTATCAGATGCTTGTCAATGATTGTAAGAATGTCGCTGCAAATCTTTGAGAGTTCATCCTCAACCTTCTGGCGATAGCCTTTGATCAGCTTCACATTATGCTCATTTCCTTTAGATTCTTCCTTTTGCTCAATTGAGGACATAATGCGCCATGAAGCTCTCCGGGCACCAATAACATTCTTGTACCCGACGGACAGAAGGTTCCTCTCTTCCACAGTCAGCTCAACGTCAAGTTTTGCAACTTGCTTCATGCTCTCAACCATTTCTATACCACATCAAAAACAGAAACAAAATCAAATCCAAGCAAATCCGCGTTCCATTCAATCGATGAACCACAAATTAGATCGTTGGCCTATTGGATGACACAGTCCAGATCACATTTCATACTTCTGTGATAGTAGGAAGAGTGCCAATAAAACACTAATTCTAAAACACAGAATACAAATAGATCAATTTGGAGCTCACAAGAACTTTTCTTGGCTCAAAGACATTGCACATATTTGCCTCAGCCAGCAATAATAAAATGAGTTGGTAAGAACATTGACTTGTATAAAACAATTTCTCATTTTCACGTTGTTGCATGTATAGAAATGAAAAAAATTAAATTAAATTAAATGAACCAATCAATGAAAAAAATCAACTCGATATCATAAATTCATGTATGTACGATGATGAAGCAATCAATAATACAAGGTTAGCAGAAGACCTTCGTAACGCTCGGCTTGCTCGGCCAGTTTAGCCAGGTAAACATGAGTTTCTCTCTCTTTTTCCGTCGACATTTTGGAAAGCTCTGAGGGGATTACCGACGGGAAAGGATTGATCGCTGCTAATCAAGAGAATGCAAGTTACAAAGCTCTTCGTTGAGGAACAAACATATGGAGAGGGAGAGAAACTAACGAAGAGAGCGTGAGAAATGGAGGGGAGGTTAGAGCCAAGTTTATATATGCATGGAGGGGAATGGGGAATGCTTGGTGGTTGTTGGTTCGTGAGAAAGACCAGATCTCCATCGTCGGATCAGGAGATCGCATGCAAGATGGAGAGCTCCCAAAATTGAAGGCCAAACTACATTTAAGATATGTTCTTAACAAAATAAAGAAGTGTATTATACGAAATTAAGTAGTAGTACATTATTATTATAAAAAAAAAGAAGAAGAAGAAATTAAGTAGTACATTATTAAGGGAGAGGAGACACAGAAACACACACACGTGCACTTTTGCTCTTTCTTCTGAGCCTTCTGATTCTGAGGGAATCTCTCTCTGAGTCAGAATCCCAATCCGCAGCTGGATGCCTGCCACCATTGTTTTTCATTTTTATTCTGCCCTTTCTCAGGCATTTTCTTTATCTTCATCATTCTTTTTTTCTCCTTAAAGTGAAAAAGAAATTGAATTATTTTATTTTAGTTTATTTTATTTTACTCGCACATTTTGGACAATTATATTGGCCATTTTGGTTAATATTTAAACGCTAAGAACTTGTCTACTTTTTTTTTTTTGATAGTAAGCAACAATTTACTTTACACTTACTCCTATTCTTACTATAACCTATTTTAGGGAAGTTTAATTGAATCAATAGGAATTGAACCACCATCAGACCAAATCAAAATATGGACACACTTGATATGTATATCTTGTCAACCCAAAAAAGGAAAAAAAAGGGTCCATGAGTGGCTTCCTTTATTTCTTTTTTTTTTTTTTTTTATCAAGGAAAGCTAAGCAGCTCAGTACATAGATATTAAACGCGGGGTGGTTACTCCAGCAATATCCAAGTTCATCCATCTCCGAATTATATTCGGTGAACTCTGTAAACGATATAACCCTGACTCTTTATTGAGGCTATCTTTACCTAAACAATCCGCACTATTGTTTCCTTCTCGCCAAATATGTAATATCCTTACCTCCCATTCCTTGTGTCTCCACTGATCAATTTGTTTTAGCAGATTAGAGTAAGGGCTTAAGTGAGGTGGCTTGTCCAGAAGCAAAATCGCTGCCTTTGAGTCTGTTTCGACAATCACTCTCTTATGTCCAACTTCCCAGGCCAACTGTAGTCCATGTATGATTCCCCATAGCTCCGCAGCAATATTCGAAGCCACTCCCAAATGCACCTCAAATGCCGTCCTTTATTTCTCACAACACCACCTTAAAAAAGACTAGTGAATTCTTTTTTCTCATGTTTCTGTATAAAATTTCCCTCTTTTCTTTCATACTTGTATAAGTCAGCCAGAACCTTCTATTTCTACCTAAGAAAATGGTCTCAACCTTCACTCTCCCCTCAAAACAATTATCATCCTGAACGCTATCTATGTTTCACGGATTAATTACCCTCAACAATTTTTTTTTTGTGTAGATTTTCTTTGTAAAAAGAAAAGGGTCTAAAAGTAATAAAAATAGCATTTGATTTTGTGCTCAGAGTTAAGAGTGATCAAACGAAATGCTCAGACCAAAAACCTTCCGTGAACCGCTGACCACTCTCCTCCTCTCCTTCCACCACCACCACCTGAGACCCTTAACCACCGCTGCCACCACCTCCACCGCCACAACTCTTCCTCATCCCACCAGTCCCATAACACCAGTAAACGAAGCCCACCTTCTCAGAGTCTGCACAATCCTGTACCAACAACAGAACTCCCCAGGCTCCAAACTCCACAACAGCCTCACCAGCACCCCTTTCCACCTAACCCATGAATTTTTCCTCCAAGTCTGCAACAAATTCCCATATTCATGGAGACCCGTCTACAAATTCCACCAATTCACCCAAAGCCAACCCCATTTTCACCACACCTCCATCACCTTCAACAAGATGCTTGATGTCGTTGGCAAGGCAAGAAACATAGACCTTCTCTGGAACTTGCTTCAAGAAATCGGCCGTCTTCGGTTGGTTACTACTAGAACTTATATCATTGCTTTGAAAGTGCTAGCTTCTGCTAGAGAATTAAAGAAATGCGTCGAGCTTTTCCATACTATGAATGGGCTTGGATTTGTTTGCAGTTTGGATACTCTGAATAAGGTAGTTGAGGCTCTGTGTAAGGGAAAACTTGTTTTGGAGGCTAATTACGTTGTAGTCAAGTTGAAAGATATTATTAGGCCGAATTGGATTACCTATAGGTGGCTGATTTATGGTTTTTGTGATGTGGGGAATTTGATTGAGGCCTCAAAGTTGTGGAATTTGATGGTAGATGAAGGCTTTGAGCCAGATATCGATACAGTTGAGATAATGCTGGAGACCCTTTTTAAAAATAATAAGTTTGGTGATGGGATGAAGCTTTTTCAGTCAATGAGGGTGAAGAGGATGGACGATTTGGGGGTGTCTACGTATCGGCTTGTGATCCACTGGTTGTGCAAGAAGGGGAAGTTGGGGGAAAGTTATGTGGTGTTTGAGGAAATGCGCGAGAGAGGAATTAAACCGGATAATGCTACGTTGGGGTCTATAGTTTATGGGCTAATGAGTAGAGGAAGGGTGAGGGAGGCTTATAAGGTTGTTGATGGGATCGAAGAACCGGATATTAGTGTTTATCATGGGATGATCAAGGGGCTTTTGAGATTAAAAAGTGCAAGTGAAGCAACACAAGTGTTTAGGGAGATGATAAAGAAGGGCTGTGAGCCAACAATGCATACGTATGTTATGTTGCTGCAAGGACATTTGGGGAGGCGAGGGAGGAAGGGATCTGATCCGTTAGTGAATTTTGATACCATTTTCGTTGGGGGGTTGGTGAAAGCAGGGAAGTCTTTGGAAGCAACCAAATATGTGGAGAGAGTGATGAATAGAGGACTTGAAGTCCCAAGGTTTGACTACAATAAGTTCTTGCATTATTATTCCAATGAAGAAGGTGTGATAATGTTTGAGGTGATGAATAAGAAGCTAAGAGAGGTTGGGTTGTTTGATCTAGCTGATATATTTGCTAGGTATGGGGAGAAAATGGCAACGAGGGATCGAAGGAGAAACAGAACAGTTGAGCCAATTGAATAGAGTTGAAAGAGTACGCTTTTTACTGGCTTGTTATGTGTAAAGGCCATTTCAGATTGTTCTTGAAGGTCAGGTTAGGAAAATGGATCTGGTACGGTGGCTTTTGAAAATATGTTGCCTGAACTACAATTCCCATTTTGCAGATGTGGTACTCCTTGTACAAAAAGAAATACCCCATTTCTGGCCAGCTTAAGGTCGCAGGTGGATCTGTTTCAAGAATCTGGCACAGCAATGGGCTTGTGTCCTATCCTGGTTGATGTAACCCCCACCTTTGTACAGAAATCCTATTGGCTTTAAATATACAAAAAATAATTCTTCTCTGCTCTTCCATCATATCTTTGGCTAGATGGAGAATTGTAGATGTATTTCCTCGAGGACCGGTTGCCCTGTCAATAGTTGCTGATCGTGAATTATTATAATTGATGTGGAATCATATACGCATACAAACTCGTTGAATCCATTATCAAAAAAAGAAAAAAAACTCGTTGAATATTAAAAATTATGGGCTGCCAAGGCGGTATGGATATGAACATAGCATCTGCAAAATGTAAGTCTTAAAATGGTTTAAAGACAAAAAGGCAAGTGTTGATGAAGACGTTGGATGAGGCTTTCGCATTTATAACATTGAATCTTACATTTCACTGCTTGTAGCATTCACTTTCACTCGTGGAAGTTGTTCGTTACAAAAGACAAATCAAATTACAGAATCAATGAAGCAATATGAAACCACAAGGAGAAAAAATTAAGATGGACGAATAACTACAGATTTCTTTACCAGTGAGGGGGAAAAAGTGGCAAAAGAAAAGAAAAGGAAAAAAACTTTCTTTGGGCTGGGGGCTACCTCAGCAAACCTTCCTCTACTCTACAGCTTCCAAAATTGTCTGAGCCATCTTCTTGGGGGGGGCTACGTTTTGATCCATCGGAACACCAAGCAGATTCGTGTAATCAGCTTTTTTAAGGCTCACGCCCTGGTATACAATAAATAGGATATAATGGAAACACCATAGGAACTATTGAGTTGTAAAGAAAGACAGAAGATTGGAAAGCGGACAAAAAACATTGTTCTATGGCTGCGCCCGCACGGCAATTCAGATGCTTGATTGGGCACATGCGTAAAAGCTTGACAAGAAAAACTCATTATTGAAAAAGGGAAGAGATCAAAAGAGGACTTACCAGATCTTAAAAACGCCTGGACGGTAAGAATACTGGGATATCTGTACCAGGTATTCATTTTCTTAGAAATGGCTTTTGGCATAAAAGTAAGCGCTGGTCACTGCCGTTCTCAAGATCAATTACTCTGGCCTCCCAGCGAATCTGTATAGCTAGACTACGTGCTTTTTCTATGGGGCCCAATTTATCAGAAAGAATAACCCACCCCTGCAGCAAGCAATTATTGTACATTATATATCAGTCAGTCACACAGTAGAATAGGAAAATATGGGCACACGAGCATACACACATGTATAGGTCGAATTTTCGTAGCTGTCTTTGAAATGTGAATGTGTATAACCATATATACATGTGGAATTGTAACTCCAAAGAAGCACTTCATATGTTAAACACAACCTCCATAAGAAATTGACTCGGTAGGACGTATAAATAGGCCTGAAAAAAAATCAGGGACATTTAGTTACCTCAGGGCGTAGGATACGGTCCATCTCAAATAGTAAATCTATCATACTGCATCCTTGTGAAGCAATGTGTGAGAGAAGGCCATTGGCATGAAGCAAGTCATACGTCCGAGGATATGTAGGAAATGGCTCACACCTGCACTAATAAAGAACATCATATAGACAAGGACATATTTTTAGAAATGAAGAACATGACCAGAAATTTTTGGACACCAGAACAAAGTAAAAACTGCATTAAAGATGAGATGAAGCAAAAATCCAGCTTGAACATGAAAATGATTTACTTTTTCCGGATTCAGTTTCCACCAGACTGTGGAAACGGAATATGTTTTCAGTAACTCTTGGATTGTCATAGGAATAATTTTTCCTATCATCTACAGTGCATCAGCATGACTTTCCGGATATACCGAACATTTTTCACCTCATCATTGGAGATGAGTTGACAAAACTCAATATTGAAATCCAAGAGTACTAAATCATCCCATATATTCAGAAATGATAGTAAGTTCAGGCAAAATTTTCAACAAGTATCTAAGTGCTCTTAAAATTCAGATTATACCAAGCCTTCTTTAGGACAACTTGGTTTTCTATGTATCTAAGATAGCCACAGCAGTGCTATAAAACTATCATTTGATTTTTAGATCAAATAGTTTTTACCAAGAGTCCTGTCCTAAAATCTTACCAGTCATGCCAGACACCAGCAAAACCCTGATCAAGGATGAGAGCTAATGTATCTTGTGCTCCCATTGGCACAACATTCATCACCCAAACTGATTTCCTAGCTTCGAGTAATACAGCATTTAGACCCCCAAAATGAGCATTCATGTCCATCACATTACGAACCATATTGTATGGAGCTAATGGATCTTCATCACCCGGCCTTTTTGGATGATCAGAAAATATCAAAGGAGAGAGCAGAGTCCAATAGTTTCTCAAAGAAGCTCTCCAGAATTCCAAGTCTTCAAAAAAATCTTCAGGATGAACTCCTGTTAGAACAGATTTATCAATAAATTGAATATTTCAAAACTAAAACATAGAAGGTCCCTGTAGAATAAAGTACATGGATATAAGTAATAAAAAATTGCATAACAGCTACAAGATCATATTGGTATAGCACTTTCCATGAATTTCAAGTTTTGTGGAGCTTAGAGAACCAGAAGATCTGTTTTGAATGGGATTCCAACGCTTGCTGTTTTTTCCATTTATGCAGTGTGACAGTGGGTGGTAATATGGCTGGGTGTCCTCTCCTTTGCAAAGAGGTACTTTCTTCTGCCTGCTATATTGAAGAACCAAGAAATATTGAGAACAAATAAAAAAATTATAAAGGGTTAGGGAGAATGAAAGTTTATGATTTGTTCTTAGGGGCAAAAAAGGAAGGCTGGGGTGGACAAAGGAGGGAAAATTTCCATTGGACAATTATAATAAGAAGCAAACACTTCCAAAGGAAGATCTATCCAATACTTGAAAAGCATGATTCCAGGATGTAAAATCAGCTTTATGATTGACCTCACCTTGATGTGTAGCATAAAGCATCGGTAGTCTTCTGCCAGATGAATGTTTCTTCTTGCTCTGCTAACAAATTCCAACAAACGTTTTGGGCAAATTCCTCAATTGGAGTTGACATGCTTCCTTTTTTGGGATTCACAGAACTTCCATACTGCCTGCTAATTTGTGAGGTTAAAACAAAGTAACCTCCAGGCTTAAGCATACGATCAACTTCGATAAGAAACAATCCATCTGAATCATGAGAAACCATTATATAAATGAATGCATATTCGCAAAAGATCATATATCAGTTACTAATTGTGTAAATGGATCAATTTATAAGTAATTTCATATACAAAAGGTACATGATACCATTTTGCACACACTTCTATCAAGCTTAAATCTTGGAGCTTTCCCATTTGAGTTTACACTTCATCCAAAGCGACTATTCTTCCAAGCACCCTAAAGCATAAACATTAAAATACAAATTCCAACCAACCGTTTTGCACCTCAGAGGAAAGGTTGCAGTGACATGTTTTTCTTCTAAGACTAAAACATAACTCAAGATTTAATACAATTCATTCTGCATCAAGCTCTAATGCTTCCACCAAGTAGAATGTCCCCAGCTAAGTAGAGAAAAAACTATGATAAAATTTGCTCTCCAGAACTTTTAAATTTGTAGTCCTAATTCCGTGTACAACTCTAAATGATACGTTTCAGCTACAAAGTTTAGAATATCTGAGTAAAACAATAGCATCAAGTCAAGCAGCAAGAGACCAGAGAAACTGCCAAAAAAGAAATCCCAGTTGTGTTGTCCAGTTATCTTAATTTCTGAACTGAGGATGCATAAAGCTAAAACAATAACAGACACCGAGAATCATAATATTAGTCAGAAGTGTAATAGAAAGATCAGAGTATATCTCTGTACAAGCAGTTAAGTCTGTTTCAGTTAAGACAGATGACAGAAAAAACGTTGTCCTCCAAATAAGCCAAAATTAACCCCATACATTATATCATGGCAAGTTGCTAAAAGAAAATTCCAGGTTGCGGTGTTACCTTTATCATCCCACACAATACCACACTGAGAACAGTGAATCATGTCATATGCTAGTGATGGAAACGGAAGTTGTCTTGAAATGAAGTTGCCAATAATCGCTGGAAGACCTCTCTCAAGGGCTAATTGGACTTGGCTACCCATCAATTCATATGCTGCTACACAAACAGCCATTATATTGAGGGAGAGTAAATGAGACCCAAAGCTTCCGAACCCACATCCAATATCTAAAACAGTGCGAACCTGCAATTTAGCAGAATGAAACTGTTAAACACAATAAGAAGTCTGCTATGATCTTAGATAGCTATAGTTGCTATTGAGAAAGATGGATAGAAGTTCAACAAATGCTAGTCCCTCAAAGGAAAGAGAGAGAAACCAAAAGGAAAATACATTCATCATAAAAGCAAGACTTACACCAGCTTGATGGAATTCAGTATCACTAGTGAGTCCAATCATTTCTGCTATGAGGTGGGAATAGTCTTGGACATCATCAGTCCCATCATCCGAGTGAAAAGAAATTTGATTTTCTTCAACTAACATTAGCCTAGAAAAGTAGCAATAGATCAAATCTAAGGAAACAAAAGCAGACAACAGCAGCAATATCAAGACAGAACTCAAATTTGATGTTTGTGCGACACACTGCAAATAAAGGTCTGGTTAAGTTGCTAATCAGATCATTGTGTGACAATGCAATAGCATCAGCTCAACAAGGTACTAAATTTAACAGCTTCAAAGCTTTATGAATATTGATAGATAAAAGTTACCTCTTTGTCCTGGTACCAGATGAAAGAAACTGGTCTTTGGACAATTTCACATTTGCACTCCAAATCACATCCCTCCCTGTAGGCCAATTCAAAGGAATTTTGTAGTCCTTGGGAGGACGAACCAAACAATGCTGTCTATCTTGCAACACTTCACAATGCCGATCAAACTCCTCCCCATCTTTAAATCCAGCTAGCAAATTTGCAGATACATTGTAACAAGGCACATAGTTTTCTCTATCCTTTCCACAAAGACTAACTTCTATCCTATTAGCCCCAGCAGAAAGAGTCCTCAATTCCAGATAATCATTGGTTGCTTGCTGTTTTAACTTTCTGTAGGTGTCAGATTTTGCCACAGAAGTCACAGATTTCAAGGCACTTGAAGAAGAAGACCCCAATAAT